AATTACAGTTACTTATGAAAATGTTAAGGATTACAAAGGGGGTTACATCTAATTTGTTCACACACACTCCCACATACAGATTTAATTGATTTCTTTCATGAATTGCTGTGACTACTCTAAAATATGAAACACCAATGTGCTTAAGAACATGCTTATTCAATAACTCTTTTGTTTCATTTATGGGTTTATGTATAGCTATGCTTCATTTTTTAAGATTAACTGTTTTTTTTCCAAGGCATTGTTAGATTCCAGACAGTGTTTCTTGTCATAGCTATGCAAAGATTTGATTTCGATCATAAAAAAAGACTTATGGCGCTTTTCCACTGCATGGTACGGCACGGTACGGCTCAGAAATGTTCACTTTTGGGGGGTTTTCCACCAGGTACAGTACCTGGTACTTTTTTTAGTACCACCTCGGTTGAGGTTCCAAGTGAACCTACTAAACTGCAGTGGAAACGCAAACCGCCATTACTTCTTCTTGAAGTGCAGCTGGATCACAAACAATGGGTGCTGATCTATCCTTGAGTTTTAACTTTTTAACAAAATATACCTTGAATTGTCCCTCATTCAGAAAGCAGTCTGGAGTAAAATTATTTGCGCAGACATAAATGAATTTAGGTGTATTCGGTGGCGCATTACCATAGTAACGGATGGCCGCCTCGGTGTGGAGCTCTCCACATACAATATACTGTCTACTGTCTTTTTGTCTATTGTGTATTGTTTTTACATATTTATTTTTATTTTGTTACCTGTGTCTTACAAGACATTGTCGCTACAGCTGTTCAAGCGCGGAGAGAATGATGGACTTCGTACAACTAGCTGAGGGTGAAACTATGCTAATACTAGACAGTACTTCATTGGTTGTGGGCGGGGCCTGAGCAAATATGACATCATACTGCTCAGAAAATCAAAATGGCTGGATAATTGAGACTGTTTAGGTTTTTGGGCGATTAAAAAAAAAGAGTGAATGGATTTTTATCATTGTAGGGTGGTGTACACACTGCTAAGATACATTTATGCAAACACCATGTAAAAGTGAATTTTGCATCCAATGTCTCCTTTAAAATTAAAATATAATCTTAATTCAAGTGATAAAGGATTTCGAAAGTCTGACAGGAATCAGTGTTGACTGTTGAGTACTAGCCTACTGTAAGGTTAACCCTGCCTGGTTTATGTTTGAAAACGATTAACAGTTTAAAACATTAGAAATGTAGAAAAGTAATCAAAAAGTAATGAAATGTAATCAGTTACATTCATGCGTTCTGCAAGTGAATGGCGCTTTATTGTGCCATCCCAAAGAGGCACAAAATCACTTTCACAGACTCTTACATTAAATATTCCCTCCTGCTGGAATGACCTGCCCAACTCAATCCGTGCAGCTGAATCCTTAGCCACCTTCAAGAATCGGCTAAAAACACATCTCTTCCATCTTTATTTGACCCTCTAACTCTAGAACTCTCTATTCTAATTATATTCTTAAAAAAAAAAAACTACTTGCCCTTTTTAGACTTACACTCTATTTAGTTACTAACTGCTGGTTTAAAAAAAAAAAAAACGAACACTAGCTTCTTTATTCTTTTTGTATTCTATATATTTGTTTTCTTTTTATTTATTATACAATAAACAAAAAGACCTTGCTTCGTGTGCTGCGTTAGGCTAACTGAGACTTGTTATAGCACTTGCGTATCGTTGCTCTTTTGTTGCTTTCGATTGCTTCCATTGTCCTCATTTGTAAGTCGCTTTGGATAAAAGCGTCTGCTAAATGACTAAATGTACATGTAAATTAATGTTAGCTTAGGTCTATTAAATAGTATTAACAGATAAAACCATTGATTTTAATAATGTATAGGAAGTTGAATTAACATGAACTGTTTTTCATTGTTAGTTCATGTTAATCAAATGGGACTTATTGTATAGTGTTATGCATATTCCTATTCATATTCAATTAAAAATATTCTATTCAAAAGTAAATATTAAAATTGAAAAGTATGTTTATATCTGTTGGTACTGTACAGTTTGGCTTATTTGCCTAGCAAAGCCTTAGAGAAGCATCTTTGGTCTGTTTGTATTACTCATAATTAAACTGATGATTGCGTTACAATCCAACTTTGTCCACAGTCAAAAAACTTTTTTGTATGCGTGTTTTGATGTAACTTGGTGATCATTAACTTGATGGATAGAGATTTAAATCAGATCTAGAACAGGTTTCTACACAAATGTACGTCTTTTAATTCCTTTGTTGAATGTATTATTCAAAGGAATGCCCATCAAAAGAACACACAGCTTAATTTGTGCCATCGCTATCTCTCACTCTCTTGTTTTCATTCTCTTTGAAGTGAAATACTGTATCTCTTTGTTCCTCCTGCTCATCCATGGTCTAATCCTCTTATATAAATCCACTGGATGAGGATAGAAAATCAAGCCAAGCAATAATCAAAATATACAGAGAAAAGCCCTTTTGAAGTGGGAGTCCCTGCCTGGCTTTACACACTATGAATAAGAAGAGTAAACAGCAGACTGTTGTGTGTAAGTGCATATTCTCTGCTGAGAGTAACAAGATCACTCATGTTTACAATGAAAGACCTGCATCTCTGAAAGCCACAGACCCTGAATTACCCTAAATTATATGGAATCATCTTCTTTGATATCGAAAAAGGATATGTAGGATTATTTGGCATATGAATAGATGTAAGCGAAAGGGCAGGTCTACAAAACATTCTTGAACTCAGGTGAAATCGATGTTACTGATCACAGGGAGACTGATGTTAAAAGTTCTCATTGATTCTTTTTCAGTTGTTGTTTAAAATCACACAAATTGATTCTGTATGAAGGTCTATCTTTGTTTTCTTTGTCCTGAATCAATGATCTGAGATCATTATGCAACTTTAGTCTTTTAATTTCCAATAATGCACTGACAGTTTCTTTAGATGTAAACAGACACATACAGCTTCACAGTTTTATTTAATGCAAATGTTATTGCAGGACTATAGATAGCAGATGGCCATTTTTAAGATATACTGGGATTTTTAAATGTGGCAAGCATAATCTCAAGACATAAAAATGCAATAATGTATAGGCTAGGCCAGTGGTGCCCAACCCTGTTCCTGGAGATCTACCTACTTGCAGAGTTCAGTTCCAACCCTGCTTCAGCACACCTGCCTGTAATTATCAAGTGCTCCTGAAGATCTTAATTAGCTGGTTAAGCCGTGTTTGATCAGGGTTGGAGCTGAACTTTGCAGGAAGGTAGATCTCCAGGAACAGGGTTGGGCAGCACTGGGCTAGGCTATAAAATATGAGTGAACGCAAGATGGCGCTCTGCACCTTCATCTAAAAAGCGTACTCTCATTTATATCACACATGTAAGCTCGTAGAATAGCTATTTGTATTAAAAACAACATTTCAGTACGATGTTTGTTTGAAAAA